ATGATCGCTTTGCTCCGTAGGTACATGCAGTTTGTAATCAAAAAAGCGTTTATAATGGTTGGTCGTTCGATTGTGCCGTACAAGTTTTATCGATTATTGATCGTGTTGATAGTTGAAATTCGTTTAGCGGAATCGAGTAATCGCGGGGAAGAATTCTATTCCTTCGGGATCGTTTCCTTGGCAGAACCAGATCAAAAGACGCGACCGGTAATTGGTTAATCAAAGTGGAAAGATGTCTTGATAGAAAGTACGCTGAGATTTTAGTTGGCTAGGCAAATCGAATCAAATAAACATTTCCTAAATCAAATATCTCGTAGTACATGGGAAATCGTCAGCGATTTATTTACAGGCTGACGTTATTACTGAGCGCAGAAATTGTATAATGTATCTACTTACTTATTAAATAATTGTGTAACCGTTACACATGTAATAAAAATCCAATGTTGTCAATAAAAACTAAATATTATATACAAAACAATAATCGACCTCTACGAATTCATCTAGACACGATGACAGGGACGATGACAGTCTAACTTTATTAACTAGATTAACCTGATTAACCTATCCTTGACAGGGGAACACATTATAAAATCCATGGGATTATGTAAAGACAAGCATATTTATTTCTTAGAAAAATATTTATAAAAATTACAAAAGTTTAGCAAAATTGTTACATCAATATCATACATGTAAAAATTGGACGGATTCATTTTTTTCATATAAACTGTTGTGAGGTTACAGTCTCATTCATTTTTCTGTTCACTAAATACGTGAAGAAATTATTATAAAAATTGTTTAGACACACAACAGAAAAAGATTAGGCAAATCTTCATACATGATTATCAAAGGTACAATTGTTACCAATTATTTGTTACATAAATTGTTTAGAAAAATTTCATTTGTATATAAAAATGGACGGAATTGTTAGCACTACTTATTTTGTATGTATAAAAAGTGTTGTACACAAAGGTATATATATATAATGCATTATTTCCTTCAGCAGCTATGCTACTTTAAACTAGATGCAAGTATAAAATTCAAATTGCAATTTGAATTGTCATGCAGTATATAAATATCTTTTGAGATTCAAGTTTTGATTGTTTTTCTACATATTGAAAGCTGCTGCTTGAAAACAACTACTGATATCTACTTGGTAATATTAGGCCATAGAAACAGAAAGTTTTCTAGAATACGCTTTTCCTTCCCATTCTTGGTCTGACGGCAACGTGGAGTGCCGCAATTTACACAGACGAGAACCATACTTCAGTATGACTATTATGACGCAAACTACAATAAGAGTCAAACACGTGGTTGCCGGCCAAAATATGTGTAGTCCCATTTTCCTTTAGTTTTCTAACTTAAGCTACTCTCAAAATTTTATAGCTTTACCCTGTGTACTTTGTACACCTATCGTTTAACTTTGGCTATATAATGTGTTACTTGGTTTAACACTGATAAAGTGTGATGGCTGTGACTAATATATTATAACTTCATTAATATTTGTATGAAAGTGAATGTGCATAATGCGAGATTTAATGTCTAATTCTCTCTCACTAGTCTCTGTTAAATTTCACTCTCACGTTTTTGCATCTCCATATATTCTTGTGATTGTGGCGTAGAACTATAAGATTCAGGATTATGGTATTGTAAAACTTCCTGTTTCTCTGGATATAAAATACGTCCAGGTTCTAATTCGCTTAAATCCAAAGGAGGAGACTTATGTGGTAGTACTGTCCACAGCGGTTGAATCCATCTATTTCCTATTTAAAGAAATTCAATGTTATGTAGTTAAAAGAAGCTGAATGTTTAAGAACAGATTATTTAAAACTTACCAGTGAACGGGCTCTGCCAATAGTCTCTGTGTCGAGAACAGAAGCAAAATCCAATATTCAAAATACACAGGAACACAAATATTACAGAACAGATTGAGATAGCGACATAAAATGGTATGAAATCACCATACTCATGCTTCTCGAAGAAGGGATTCTTCAGGTAATCCTCTCGCTCGTCTAGAATGGACATTTTTTATAAATTTTTAGACTCAGATACTTCTGAAAAAGATAAAGATGATTTTGCCTTATGTACATACACTTTTTAAAGAGCATGCAGATTTGTTTATTGACTGAAGAGATTTGGGTTTATATAAATAAAGAAACTGTCATTTGAACTTCAAAAACTATGCATTCAAAGTGTGGCAATTCTATATTTAATAGTGTGATTTCTAATTTATGAAATAATTTACTAAAACAAAACTGAAATCCTGAGTCATCTGTACTCAGGGAAGCGAAGGCGTGGCGTCAGGTCAACACTACGAAATTGTACTTAATGTTTCAATTAATTGCTCAATTAACAGATATAAAGATTTATTATACAATATACTCGTTAACGATTCGCATACAATTACATTCGATACAATCCTTTAATTTTAAATCTTACAAGATGAAAAGTTTAAGAAATAAGCAATAGGAATTTGGACAACATCAAATGGGTTAATGAAGACAACATATTAATGTGCTACTTACCGTACAGTAGTTCCCACTTTCTCCTCACTGTTTGTTTTGAGTATCAATACAACTGGTACTAACAAATTTCAGATCCAACGAAACCCTAGCTGTATTAACACTAGGACGCAATCAGTCAAATTACACTCATCACTGGACGCATTGGAATCTGTTACACTAACTTGTATTTGGGCGGGGCGTCGAATATGGTGGGAGAAATGAATGCGTTAAGTTCCGTTTGCATGTAATAATAGTGTCAGTTATATTTTTAAACAAATTTATCTTTTATTATTACTATCATTATTTATGACAATCTTGACTTAAACCATAACAACTGGTGCTTCTTAAGTTACTATTTTTAATTACTATCTTAACTTATTTTTTATATAATTTATATTTTGTAACCACAAATTTAATAAATCCTCAGACACGACAACAACGTACTTTTTGGTGCCGGCAACACTGTCAAAATTGGCTTTCCAAGCACATACATATGTACAGTGTTATATACAGTTCGGAAAACCCCTTAAACCCCCATGAGAAACCCCTCGAACCCCCACGAGAAATTCCTACGTGGCGCCACATAGTGCAAGACCGCTCAAACTTCTAGCCAACCAGTACCTGATTGTCTTGATCGTTTGATTCAGGTACATAAAGTCCACTAATCATCGGGACATTTTTTACGGTGTCATTATTTCAGAATAGTAAACAAAAAAGTATATTCTATGCAGAGTCTATACATATAAATTATTCTGTGACAGTACACATTCATTTCATATCAGTTAACGGATATGTCTTTTATAGATAATGTAGGAAACGTTATTAGATTAGAATTATATAATGATGTTATTACCGACGAGTGGTACCATTATTCCTGTCAGTGGTTTCATCTGTGAAAACGTTTATACAGCCATGTGACTGTTAGTGAGGTTATAGTGACGAATAATTATCATATATTTATTGTAGTTTTAACAGAAAACGCTTCTGATATTAATTTATTATGTACATAATATATAAAGAGTAACAATCAGTATGAAATTTATCACTAGTGCTGTTAAATCTTGTGCTGCTCGTACAGGCACATTAACTGAATTCGAAAGAATACCAACGATTTGCTTCGAAACTCCTTTGAGTCTTATTTATACAAAGGTAACACTGGATAACATTAAATCTAAAAGTTAAAAAGAAAAACACACTTTCTTTGTGTTTCATTTTTTTAGGGGGGACTTGTGCCGCATTTAACGAAAGATGCTTTCGAAAGGGTCACAAAAGAACCACAATTTCTATCTGTTTCATTGCCTTCTACTATGTTAATGTATACAGCAATGAAAGACATTGGTGTTAATTTCGCAAATTTTGTCAGCATGCAGGTGCGTTATTGTTTTTTGTTAATTTTATGCGTTACTTTTATTCATTAATTTAATACAACCTTAAAAATAATTTCTCTTTAGGAACATATAAATTTTCTATTGGTTACTGATCCAGCCTATTTGACACGTTCAGGATTTCAAAAGCTTGATACCATTGCTGTGTGGACCAAAACTGGCAGACACACAATGTCATCCAAAGATTATATGGACATTGTTGAAACATTTAAGCCAGACTGCTATGTTGCTTTATGTGATGGTGATACTAATATCAACACCAGTAAAAAAAGAGTTATGAAAGCTGTGAATCGTAGTAACATATTGTTTGAGCAATGTTTAGCCAGGCATAGTACATCTGATAATTTAAAGTCAACAGGATTATTAGCTGCTATAGAAGGTGGCTATAATATGGATGCTAGACTAGAATCAATAAATTATTTAAAAGATAAACCTGTAGTAGGATATGTAATAGATGGATTACATAATAATGGACCAGATGTGCAAAACATTTCACCACAGCAAGTTGAAGGAATAATAAAACAGACTATTGTAAGTCAGAAGATCTTTGTTATAGTTCAATGATTACTTATCAAATATAATTCCAGAGTCTTTTGCCAGCTGAAAAATTGAAAGTATCAATGGGATGCTGGAATCCGCTAACAGTATTAAACCTTATTGAATTAGGTGTAGATATATTTGATACATCGTATCCTTATGTAGCTGCAATGAATGCAGAAGCTTTAACATTTTTATGTGATCACAGTACCTGTAATAACAAATCATATGTGATATTATTCAAAGAGAAAAGGTATTGTAGTTGAATGAGTTTATAATTATTATATTTTTGTAGTAATTATTATTTTTTCGCAGGTATATAGAAGATTTTTCTCCAATATGCTCTCATTGTGAATGTCTTACATGCAAAAATCACACTAGAGCATATATACATCATTTACAAAACACGAGAGAAATGCTTTTTGAGATATTGTTAATGATGTGAGTCCTGCTAAATATGCATTATATTTTAATTTTTTTATTTATAGTATATTTATACATACCTAAATATACTTCTGTTTTTAGACACAATATTCATCAATACCTTGAATTCTTCAAAGCTATTCGAGAAAACATAAAAAATGGTACTTTCGACCAGTATAAACAAAAGATTGGATTAAAATTTGAAAACACTAGGATCACAGAGTCAAATGGAACGGATAAAATAGATGTGAAAGAAGTAAATACTATACATGCGTAATATCCGCACTAATAAAGTATTATCAATTTATCATGGTATTATAAATCGCACAATTTTTAATTAAGATAGTACAAAAGTTAGAAACCTCGTAAAATAATAGTTATTCGGGTAAAAAATTTGGGTCTAAGTAATTATAAGAGGAGTTACTAAAACTTTGTGGAAAATAATCTAGATCATAACTTCTACTATACAGTGGTGGTTTTATAGAAATCAATCTATGCAATGGGTCATGTAATGGTTTTTCAGCTTCTAATTGTGCTACTGCACAATCACCGCATAAATCTATTCCATCTGGACATTCTGCACAATGCCACCTTATGCCTGTTAAGGGTTCTTCTTCACACAGTGCACACTGTAAACAAAATGATTACCCATAAAAATAAATCCTTTTTAATTATTGTAATAAACGTAATATTTATATACCTTGTACCCAACATGTTTATATGTTGCAGAAGAACTTTCTTCCTTCTCAGCTTTCACTTGTCTTAACAATTCTATGTGCCTTAGTTCTGGATTATCTTCAATAATACTATTTCCGGCATCATCTTCCTGTAATCATTAATAGCTCCAATATTACTATGATGTACTTACATTTCTATGCATACAGTATACAACAAAATTAGTACATACAGATTCTTCTGTAATTGGTTGTTCTTTATTCTCATCCGGAATTGTAAAGGACATATCTTGATGTGGAAAAAATGTAGATCTCCTGAATAAAGAATAATTATTACGTTGATGCCTATGACCCATTCCTTTCTTTGCATCCAACTTCATTTTAGGACCTCGGCCAGGAATAGGCAACCCAGCTCTCAAGAGTTTAATAAAATATTTCTGAACTCTACTAGAAACTTGTTTCGGTGTTCTATTACCTATTAAACAAATAAGATGTAAATCACTACAGTGAAACAAAGATATCATTATTAATTCTATACCTAAAGCATTAGCTATTTTCGTCCAGCGTCTCATTTCCACTTCTTCCGGTGGATATTCAATCAATAATTCTTCTAATCTCTTCTGTTCCTCCACTGTCCATAATTGATTGAATGTTTCCGGTTTACTTTCATCGAAAGCACGACCTCGTACTAGAATCTGAATATTCCCACATACAAAACAAACATTATAAACTCAGAATATTTTAACCAGTGCGTATACATCAAACGACAATGTACCTTCCCATTCTCTTGTTCCGTTTTCGTCTGCATATGAGGTATAACATGTCCATGTCTAGTCTGTGGCCTCATACGCATATCAGGTACAGCTATGTTATATTGCGACCAGTCAATATAAGGGATTTCCGCAATTTTTTGCGGTCCCGGTAATTCTGGGAGCTCACCATTTTGTATCTGTGCGACGAACGATATCGGATCTTTCAGTGCTTTAGAACGAATGGACAGCAATTTATCCAGATCTTCTATAGCCTGGACACGTTGAGCTTCCAGTATAACAATCGTTTTCAAAAGAGTAGTGTAATCCTTGTTCCCCTTCAATGCTAGATGGTCCGATTCAAAATAAAATTCACTGGGCTCCTCGTCCTGACATTTCTTATCTTCTTCCTCCTCCATCGCTAATCAACTGTTAGCGTTGCTTGACAGGTGAAAATGCGTGTCCAGTGTAACACCTTAACCTAAATTATTTGTCAAAATAAAGCGAGCGACATGCGAAACGATCATATCAAATAAAATCGACAAAAATACATTCGTCCGTTTTTTATAATAGTGATCCGTTTTTCCTTGACGCTCTCGTTAACGGTGAAAAGATGTTTTAATAAATTACAAGAATACAGAGACACGTGGACTGAGCGCTGTTCGGTACAGTCTTACCGAATAATTATCTAAAGATAAAACAGATATTCTATAATTTTTATTTGCGATCCTAATCCTAATTTAATTTCAACATTCTTAATCGATACTTACTATCGCGACAGATAAGCGTCTAAGCTAGATTATATAAAATCACAGTAAGAGAAGAAAGTATTCATATACCGGTGGCATTTCACTTCGGAACAGTTGTATTAATTCCGATGACATCGTTGTATTAATTAATTTATTTCATATTCCAATGAAATCAGTGACGCGAGTAGAATTAATTAGAATATTCCTAAAATTGAATTAAGAACACATTGTGGCCAGTTATTTTTATGTATCAATTGATATAATAGAAAATGTATCATCAATTAAATGCAAGATTTCATTACAGACATATGCACTAAAAATATGTGCTTATAATAAATTTAATTAGTTCATACATGTCATACATCTTTTTGCAAGTGGATAGCGTGTTATATTGTTATATATAATTTCAGATGTATCTTACTGGATATTATATATTGACCCGTTTATTTTGAAAATGGTTTAAGTCCACTTAAAAAAGATTAAAAAACAATTAAAAAATTGAAAGATTATTCAGAATTGTAGCTATTATAATTATTAACTTGATTTGAGAAAAAAAATGTGCTTAACCCACTTTCAAAATAAACGGCTAATATTATTGTAACACTGTGTTATCAATTATTTTCATCAGACTGTACTTTGATACAACATTGCACTCTCATAATCTTGTACAAATAATTTGTAGCTTAGTATCACACTCGGATCGGTACGAAGAATGAAAAAACAAAGTTCAAAAAGTTACGAACACTTTTTTTTTCATTAACTTGTATACGCGTACGTCACGATATCCAATAAATATGTTATAATTTCCAGCTCAAGCGATAGCGCGACGCATTCAAACAGCTGGATTGAAACGAACTAAACTGTAGCGGTAATCAACAAGCTTCGAGGTTGTTAATTATTTAATACTACGACTTCTTCTTTTCGCGATTATTAAAAACATTTATTTATGTATAGATTATTACAAACATAAAGCAGATGCTTCTTTGGGATGCTATGAAAGAAATTAATTTGGCAATTACGCAAACTGAATTATTATATTGTTATGTTGGTATATTGTTATATCGTTATATCGTTATATTGTCATATTGCTATATTGTTATATTGGTATATTATTATATTGTTATATTGCTCGGTAGTTCCAATGTTAAATTCAAAAACATGTCACATTTAATTACATGCAGATACATTTGATACATCATATTCTCAGCTGCAATGAATGCAGCTTTAACATTTTTATACGGTACCTGCAATAACGAATCACGTGACATCATTCAAAGAGAAAAGGTATCGCAGTCGAATGAGTTTAGAATTACTATATTTCCGTGGTAATTATTATTTTTTCGCTTCTCGTGTCTTACGTGCAACGTCTGAAACGAACAGAATTGTAGCTCCGAGAATATTGATCATTTAAATTCAAAAATACGTCATTGCTCACGAGCAACTCACCCACGCGAAACTGTACACAGCATCGTCGTATTCGGCTTTAAACCTTGCCCTATCGTTCATCCATGCGAATCTGAGCTTGATAAACCAGAGTGACGCATAATACCGTCGCGAAGAATGATTTCCCCGTTAAATCATTGGCAACGGAGGATAGAAGGAACAAAGACGGGAAGAGATACACGCTGTTGACCGTCCGGTTACTATTGACTCACGAAAACTCAACTGCGCTCCGACGCATTATCTTATCGGGTTTACCTATTTTCCATCAAATTGATGATTAACTCTCCGAAATACTGAACCGGTCGGTAGAAGCTGACGCGCTTCATCCCCCCGCCATGTTTGTCGACTCCGTGGACGGTTCCGTGGCTACGGTAATTAATGTTTCAACCAGTAATTCAACGCACGACGGAAAACACGATTAGCTGGCATCGTGTAATCATTCTTTTTTCAACGCGTCGTATTACGTTTCGAACGATTTGCAAGGGGTTAGTCCAGTGTTTCTGATTTTTAAGGGGGGCAATTTGAAATTTGAAATATCACTTCATGTATTTCGCAGTATTCACGCACGCGAACAAAATGGCAGAAATATTATAATGAATATTATAATATAATACAATAATAAGTATTTAATATTTATTATTGTATTATATTATAATATTATAATATAATAATAGTATTATATAATAATAAATATTATAGTATAATATAATAATGAATATTATAGTATAATATTATAATAAATATTATAATAAATATTATAATATAATATTAGCAATTATATATATGTTACACAGGGGGCATAAGAATTTTAGAAATTTCTAAATACAGCACAGCACAAAAGAGGAATCACTGGGTTAATCAATGGCTCATCGGCACCATGAAAGCGTTCACCTTAGAAACCCTCCGATCAGTTCCACGTGGGACAGCCCCCACAACTTTATCGTCAAGCTCGAATTGCCGATCGCGGTGGACAATTGGCAACAGCGACGTTGTCACGGGGGAGGCCAAGGTGGTACCCTTATCAGGGGAACCATCGAGCGGGAGCCTGTAAAAATGGCCAGCTGACCCGTTAACAGTTCAGTCTCAGCTTGGACATCTTCCGATAGCGTCGCACGCGGTCTTCGATCTGGCACGAGGAAGCCAGCCGATTCGTCGTCGTGTTCACCGTCGCGCGGGATCAGCTCCAAGCCGCCGGGGACAGCCTAGGAGCCCGCAAGATCCGAACGATGGGCCTTTGAGTCGCGAAATCGTCCCCGTTCGGTGAACATTTCCGTTTCCCTCGGTTCTATCGTGACCACGGACCGGAAAGAATGGAGAAGGAAACGGGCGCCGGTAAGATCGCGCTGAAACGAGAGCTGGGCCTCTTCAGCGCGGTCAGCATCATCTTGGCTGTCATGATCGGTAAGAGAACGCAACGTCGCCTCGACGAACTGACGCTATTCGATCCGAAGTTCATATTCCAACTGACATTTCACGTCGGACAGAACCGTGTTACACATACTTCGAATCATTCCTACGAGCGCGTTAGTCCGGCCATTTCCGGCGCTGCGGCCGGACGATTTCTTCGAATTAAAATCGCGATTATTGAGTTAAGACGTCGCCGGGAAATCGCGCGAAGGGTACGATGAATCGACACGTGTTCTGCAATTGGCAACCGTAGAATCCTGTGTTACTTCCGACGTTAACCCTTTGCACTCGACAATTCATTGGAAGTATTCATCACTTCGTGGCTAAATATTAACGATTTCGTAACACAATTGATTATAAATTAATCACTATTTTACTGTTTACTATTTATTTTACTATGACACTACTTCGATTTGCGTTGATACATTACACTAGGTTTAACATTGAATCGAAAATTTTATAAGTTCGCGTCGAATCAGGCGACACCTCGAGTGCAAAGGGTTAAGGGTAATTACTTTCCATCGGGATAATTGCCGGGTTTCGCTACCAAAGGCTGAGCGCGTTATCGGTAATACACTTACATAACGAAGCATCAGCCGTTCGTACGGTGGAATTTCGGCTCGAAGCAATTCCCCGAGGAATCCGGTCGATGATAGGAGCTCCTCGGCTCGCCTATCAACGGCACAGGTGTGTTTTACGCACGTTGACCGATGTTCGACGATCGAGTCACGCGTCGCGTAGCCGCGCGTCAAAGCGATTATTCCATTTCGCCGGGACACGTGTCAGTCTGGTGGACCGGTCGAAACGTCGTCGCGAGAGATAGACGATCCAACGGCGAACGGGCAGAGGTTCAGTCGCGATAACGAGCCGCTAAATTGAATTATCCGGCGGCTCGTCGCGAACCTTTCCTTTTCGTTTCTTCCCGTCGACACCGGCCTCGATCGATGGCACACGACGGAATTGCTACGTTTCTCGTCCGACTGCCGTTGACCGGTTGCGCGTTGATAACGGCCGAGCCGTTTATCTTGACCGACGATGGCTCGCTCCGATGTTTCGATGCGGTAATTAGCGGGTAATGTGATATTTGAAGAGGACTCGCGCGGCCGATGTGTTCAGGAGCAGTTAACAGTAATTGCATAATTGCGCGGATATGAATAAGCTGCTCGGCTTTTACAATAATAACGATCGCTCGGCGCTCGTTAATAGGGAGTCAAAGAGCGTCGACGGTTCTCACGGCTCTGGTTTGACGGCGAGATTTACGCTTCGACTGGTTGAACACTCTTCGATATTTCTGGATCGAAGAAAAAGCGAAACGCAATTTGTTCGGTTAATTAGGGTTTGAAGCGGATCGAAGGCGGAGTTTCTTTTGGGAATAGTCTCCTTTCCGAGGATTTATCGAGTATAACTTGTTGAGAATGTCGTTTATGTACTTTCGCCTCCAGATACGAGTAGATATTGTAGATTTATTTTCGTCGCTGATTGGCATCGACTCGAAATAATTCGTATTATCGCTATTATTGTATTGTACAGATGTCTGCTGCTCGAAATCGTTAAGCGGCTTGGGAACACGTTCTCGGAGCTGCTCGATCGAAGTTGAATATTTTCGTTTCTGTCACTTAAGTTTCATGAAACTGATATCAACGAACTCGGAAGATGTAATTGAATTTGACCAGAGAAAAGAGTCCATTGTAGTAATCGAGTTGATTATAATGAAACGCGTTAAGGATACTCCTTGTCATCGAGAAAAATTGTATAATTTGATTGATCGACGACCGACTTCTTTTTACGTGATAAACATTCGACGCCGGAGTTACTGCGAATGATTTATCGGAGCGTTGCGACGATCAACATAGTAGCTCGATATTTCCAGAGCTCACAATCACAAAGCCCCGATACTTTATCTGAGGCATCGCGGTACAATCTGACGAAGCTCTTGAATAACATCTAGATTATCCCAGTGTAATCCCGGTCGATCTGGTTCGATCGAGATCATCGGGATTTAAATAAAGAGGCGAAGCCGGTAGATTTTCCTCGGATAATTCATTCCGCGGCTCGAGGAAAACGAGGCGGGCGACGCGTCGCACCTCGCGGAAAGGAAACGATGAAAACTGACGTAACATTTCAGTAATTATGCGTACGTAGTTTGACACGATTAGGAATCAAGGGGGTTAATCAAGGTTAATCGCTGACCCACGCGCTCGAGTATTACGAGGCATTCTTCTCAAGTATATATCTCGCTGATCTTAATCAACTTTTCCAGGCTGACAAATCTGTCAGCGCTCTTGTTTTATCTGCGGATACAGTCGATGACAAATGCCTTGATTTTCCACGTCGATCTGTCAATTTGATTCTTCGAGCGTTTTGGTAAAAGATTTCGGAGTTGGGACGCAACGGAAGATTCTCGTTTCGTAACGTACTTTTAGGCGATAATTTCTGTTTGATCAAAACGATAACTTTCTTTTCGGAAAACTGAAATTATCGACAATCTACCGGCATATTTTTGATATCAGCGCGGCCTGCGTTGGGCAACAGTGATTGTACTGCTGAATAAGCTGTACGTGACAATTCCATCATTCTGAAGTTCCATTTTCTCTTCTTTTGTTGATTCAGCGACATTTCGTTATCACACTGTGTACGGTGGCGTGACTTATTTGTAAAAGAAACGGGAAGAAACTTTGTTGTTACATATTCCTCAGGGATTAATTAATTAATCAACTTACATTAATTAGCATGATTGAATGTATCCCTTGTTTCAATAACAATTGATTCAGCGACATTTCGTTATCATTTCACTGTGTACGGTGGCGTTTACTTATTTGTAAAAGAAGCGGGAAGAAACTTTGTTGTTATATTCCTCAGGGATTAATTAATCACCTTACATTAATTAGCGTGATTAAATGTATCCCTTGTTTCAATAGCAATTGATTCAGCGACATTTCGTTATCATTTCACTGTGTACGGTGGGGTTTACTTATTTGTAAAAGAAGCGAGAAGAAACTTTGTTGTTATATTCCTCAGGAATTAATTAATCACCTTACATTAATTAGCGTGATTAAATGTATCCCTTGTTTCAATAGCAATTGATTCAGCGACATTTCGTTATCATTTCACTGTGTACGGTGAGGTTTACTTATTTGTAAAAGAAGCGAGAAGAAACTTTGTTGGTACATATTCCTCAGGAATTAATTAGTTAATCCCCTTATACAAAATTAGCATGATTAAATGTATCCCTTGTTTCAATAGCAATTGATACTCCATAATAATCTGCGTAAATAGCCTTCTTGAAGTTTAAATATAGCCACTTGCACAGCCTCCGTCAATGATGTTGATCCTCTTAAAATTATTTGCGGCTTAATTTAATACTTTTTAAACTTCTCCGCATATTCTAGGCGGACCGTTCCCCAAGCGCAGTTCATATCAAACGGATGTTTTCATTTCAAGGTTCTGGAATCTTCGTGTCTCCTACCAGTGCCCTTGAAAGATCAGGATCAGTGGGTTTCTGCCTAGTTGTCTGGAGCACATGCGGTTTGCTGTCTCTGCTCGGTGCTCTAGCCTTCGCCGAATTAAGCACGGTGGTTCCCCGGTCTGGCGCCGAATACGCCTACTTCATTGAAGCGTTCTCACCGTTGCATCATTATGCCGGTCAGATACCAGCATTTGTATGTTCCTGGATCTACGTGTTCCTGCTGCGGCCAGCCGAAGTGGCGGTAGTTATGCTGACATTCGCCGAGTACAGCGTGCAACCGTTCTCTCATTATTTAAGCGATCTGCCAGAGGAGTCAATGAGTCGGCTGAAGAAACTTATAGCCATGCTGGCTCTTGGATTAATCACGTACATCAATCTAACCAGCGTAAAGCTGTATGTAAAAGTGCAGAACATATTCACTGTTTGCAAAGTGGTCGCCTGTATGGTAGTGATCGGCGGTGGAATTTGGTGGCTTTGCGCTGGTCACACAGAACTCTTGAAAAATCCATTCCGTGGCAGTACCACTTCCCCTGGTGACATAGCCTTGGCCTTCTACAGCGGTTTATGGGCTTACGATGGATGGACATCTGCTGCTATCGTCACAGAGGAAATAAAGAAGCCAGAAGTGAATATTCTGAGGAGCATTATAATCGCTGTACCTCTAATTACTGTACTTTATGTCTCAATGAACTTAATGTATATGGCTGCGTTAACGATACCGGACATGGTCAGCGCTCCAGCTGTTGCGGTAATCTGGGCTGATAAAGTCTTACCCTATTGGCTGAGTTTCGCAATTCCTGTTGGTGTTGCTCTGTCCACGTTCGGCTGCAGTTTGAGTATCCAATTTGGAGTGTCGAGACTCTGCTATGTGGCCGGAGGAGAGGGCCACGTACCCAGAGTATTCAGTTTTGTTCATATGGAAAAAATGACACCAGCTGCAGCTGTAGGACTCCAGGGAATACTCGCGTTGATTTGCATGCTTCTGGGGAACATTATTGCTCTGATCGAGTTCGCCAGCTTCTTGACTTGGGTATTTTATGGACTTGCCATGGTGTCTCTAATAATTATGAGGAAAACGAAGCCAGACGCGCCCAGACCGTACAAAGTGCCGATTGTAATACCTTGGCTGGTATTGTGTGTCTCCATTTTTTTGGCTGTGACACCAATCATTCACGAGCCAACGCCTAAATATCTCTTTGCATTGCTATTCATTTTATTCGGTCTCGCCATCTACCATACATACGTGTATAAAAAAGTCAGAAGCACTTTGGCAGGTGAGTACAATTCAGAGCGTACAGTATAGTTTAGTAAGCTCAATAATACAAATTACTGACCCATTCTTTCTCTTCTAGCCAAGCTCACGTACCTGATTCAAGCCTTATGTCTAGTTGTTGCTCCAGATAAAGAAGACTGACGTGATGTAATTTTATAAATAACATTTAATGTATGTACATAGTGAAATATGCATAACATTCTAGCAAAGTATCTTAATTGTATTGCAGTTCTAGTATATGGGTTAAGGCTGGGTTTACAAAATCTGGAGAAATGAGATTATTTTCCTTATTGTTATCATTATTCAAATGATATCAGAATTTCAGTCTTTATATGATAAGAAACAGTAGAATCAACTGATACACTGTATCACATAATATTGATTATTTTTTCTAAGTTTCATAAATTTAACAAAAAAAAATTCCACAGGTATACAAGACTTAGTTGTAAAATTGATCCAAAGTATAACAATCTTTTAATATATTGTGCAGTATTGTAAATGTTTCATAAAAGTAACCACTGAGATATAATAAATATTAACTATATTACAAAGTTCAACATGTAAAAATGCAAAATATAATTTACAGAAATATCAAATATTTATTATATCTGTACATATATATATATATATTTTTCAAGCATCAAAATATTGTAATATCAATTCTTTTATGTTAACACTGTTATTACAATATTCTGATAGTAACAAATATTATAAATATTAATTATAATTGTAAAAATGCAATCAATCTTAGAATTATATTAACATGATGTAAAAATGCTACAAAGTATAGAAAATTATACAAAAATACCAAAGATCAATGTACTTTGGCTTGTATTTATAACTTTGTTAGTGTAACACTTCATACATTGTCACTTTTTATTAATGAGAAAGTATTGCATCTATTAAATATACAACAACAAATAGAGATTCGCGTATTATTACTTTAAGGCACCTGTATGAGGCTTTTATGTAACTTAATTGAAAGTTACGTCAATGCTATCAAAGCTCAATGTACTTATTACTCTAAGGAACATATCACTTAGTATAGGATAACAATTTGTTTTATAGAAACAATTATGATAAGAATGAAAAGAATGAAAAGTATCCCATAAAATTAAAGCATAAAACATAGCTGTAATATACGATATCTTCTCATTAAATATCCGTAATATAACAATATAAACAAAACTTATGCATTGGAATTGAAGTTATCTAATTACACCAATCAGAGTTTTACTGGTACAAACAGTTACTGAGATGCACCGCATTTTAAACAGGTTTGTCTTTCACTAAAACATCATTTGAATACTGTAGATATTTATTCAAATATGTACTATAACTATCATTTTATTGAATTATTTTATTACCTTAACATCTGATGGAGTTTTTTCCTAAGTTCATTACATAAAGCAGTTTCAGCTGCAAGTGCCGCATCCCTTTCTCTTAATTGTTGACGCAAATGATAAATAGTATCCTCTAATGCTTCAAAAATTGCCTAGAAAGAAGAGTTGTGTGATAAAGTTCTACAAATACATTAAACAGTATTCAATGTTTTAACAAAATTTCGTTTATAACACTAACTCTAGACTCTTCTACAGTATCAGACAAGGCAGGTGGTTCATCTAAACAAAAAAATTCTCTAACACATGCAGTGCCTATGAGAACAGGACTGCTTAAAACTCCATTAACAAATGCCTGTAGGCGACGTATTCTTTCTTCTAAAAAACTTGGAGCAAAATTATCACCAAGCCATTTTTTTCTTGGTAGACTTAGATGTGATATTGGTACTTTTTGCCTTCTTAATTGTGACATTAAACGAACAAAGTCTGTGTACCTCCTAAATACAAACCAGCAGTCTCCATTTTTCAATTCTACCCGTAATTTATAAACCTAAAAGAAATAAATGTAATGTAAATGTACCAAATATTGATACATAATTGCAATGTAATCAACTAGGAATTTTATCAACCGTAAATCTAGCTCTTTCCTCCATAACTTCATATCCAACAATTGGTATTCTTAAGTCATCACTAGTTAATGGTGGATGTAAAATATCTGAATTTGCATTATCATTGTCAGGATAATTAAATCGTTGTACGGTAAAGGAATTTGAATGACCAGATCCATCAGAGTCGGGACTATCAAGTACTCTCACTGTACCTGATTGAGAACCCCTTGCTTTACTAATTGCAAGTGTGACTTCACTAATACATCCCACATCAGACTCTGACGTGGACATTTTACCACCAACAAACTAAATGTAATCATGCATACTTAAAAAAAGAAAAAGAAAAATTAAATTATTAAAAGAGCACAAACCACTACATTTACGAATGTATTAAAATTGTTTAAACTAACATAATCATGTACTTAAAGAGAAAGCAAAATACTCAAAAACCATACTATAAAAATACCAATATTTTCTTAAAAGAAGCACAGCACAATAATGAAGATAAAAAAAAACATGAGAAACAGTTTCACTTATATTGTATAATGATTCAGCAATTCAACAGATTACCAAGTATAGAAGAGAAATTCAACACTTAATGTTAATCACTATACTACATACTTATTAACTGAGACAAAACACTAACCTCAATATGAATAATCAAATATTAAGTATCACTTTACAACTCTTTCCTTTTTCGCACACCAACCAAAATGTGAAATCATACTTCGTATGAAGTTTATTTCATTCACATATACTTTTAATTTAAAATCTCTTTCTTACAGAAAAAAATACAAATTTGACATGACATATTGAGAGATTGCAAATATACCGTTTTCGCGAAACAGGAACTATTTAGATGGTGCACCACAATCGTAAATGTGAATATACACATTGCAGATAAAACAGTTATGTAGTGTATAATCAGCAACAAGAGATAGGATAGACTGGATATGCAATGCAAATTTTGGTCACGTGCTAGGGTGTTACAAGATCCTTTTATCATTCCTTTTCGCTACAACCTTATTAATAAAGTACAAATAAATAATAATAATACCTGAGTAGGTATTTGGACATGTTTGAATTGAACATTACATGTTCTATGTAGCAGTTTTTGCTCACATAACAGTTTGGACAACTCCTTGAGTGGGGGAACGTAGTTTCTGAGTTACTAGCGTGAGGGGAGTAAGTTAAACACCTCTAGTCTGGTGCTAAAAAGCGTTGTAAAGTAGGCTTTATATACAACACAACCATATAATACAGTGCACATATGTGCATGTTCACAGGTCCGTTAAATGTCTGCACTGACATACGCGGCACTGTAGAAAAACACGAATCCAAAATATGGCAAGTTCGTCAAGGTAAATTTTGAAGAAGTTTTACTTCATACATTTCAACAATTGTTAATGTCTTTCGCAATAGTGTTTCCTTATATCAAGTGCTGTTATTCGATATTAGGTCGAATTCATTTGAAAACAGTACAATGTCACAGACTTTGGTTATAAAATCTGACAGTGTTTGTTTATCTTTGATATACTTTTAACTCATTACTTCAAGAAAGCGAATAAATCATTTTCCTGTACTTAGATTTATATTCTTCTCTTATTCTCTGTTTTGTTTAACGAGAGAGATGTTTTTTGTAACCTTGTTGCTTCTATATAAAAACTTACTAGATCAAGTTTGTCCTCTCTTATGATTTGGAGCAAGTATAAATATAAGTAATTGTAAGATTATAGAGCAACTACTATAACACAAAGATACTTGTTCACATTTATAGGCAAGTATAGATTAATATTTGGTATACATTTTCTTAGTATTTCTTTTGCAGACACGAAACAAACAAAGTTTGTTGTTATTCACATCCAGATGCACCACTTATTGAAGATTATCGAGCAGGGGATCAAATTTGTTCAGAATGTGGATTAGTTGTTGGAGACAGGTAATTGTACTGTTTAGAACAATATATTCATTAGTGTTATAAATTCTTACTTTTGAACTTCTTTATAATAGAGTAATAGATGTTGGTTCAGAGTGGAGAACATTTAGTAATGAAAAAGCAGGCGTTGATCCATCTCGTGTTGGTGGTCCAGAAAATCCACTTCTTAATGGTTCAGATTTATCCACCATGATTGGTCCAGGTACAGGTGCAGCTTCATTTGATGCTTTTGGTGCTTCAAAATACCAAAACAGACGCACAGTGAGTATAACATTTTTTTGCATTATATAACTGACCTTTCTGTATTTTAATCCATTGTGTTTCTTTCAGATGAGCAGCTCTGATAGAGCACTGATCAATGCTTTCCGTGAAATTAATGGAATGGCTGATCGTATTAATTTGCCTAAAACTATTGTTGACAGAGCCAATAATTTATTTAAACAAGTGCATGATGGTAAAAATTTGAAAGGTCGTGCTAATGATGCAATTGCTTCAGCTTGTTTATATATTGCCTGTAGGCAAGAAGGTGTACCACGTACTTTCAAAGAAATCTGTGCAGTCAGTAAAATCAGTAAAAAAGAAATTGGAAGATGTTTCAAATTGATACTAAAAGCTCTTGAAACTAGTGTGGACCTCATTACTACAGGAGACTTTATGTCAAGGTTTTGCTCTAATCTTGGTCTTCCAAACATGGTACAACGAGCTGCTACACATATTGCAAGAAAAGCAGTGGAAATTGATATTGTACCTGGAAGATCACCTATTTCTGTAGCAGCTGCTGCAATATACATGGCATCACAGGTATTTAATATAGTTGAACAAATTCTTGTATTGTATTCTATTTTCATAGTATTTATATATCTTATCATTATTTCCTAGGCTTCAGAAGACAAAAGATCTCAGAAAGAAATTGGTGATATTGCTGGTGTAGCAGATGTTACAATTAGGCAATCTTATAAATTAATGTATCCTCATGCAGGAAAATTGTTTCCAGGAGATTTCAGATTTGCAACACCTATTGATCAATTGCCACAAATGTAAAATTAACACAAGGCCTTATATTCTAATGTATATTTTATCACGTTGAAGCAATAGTTATATGTTATACAGTAATCATCTATAAATAATCCAACCTTTCTCTGCAGTATACATTCCTAAATGATCTATGAAACATTGGTATTATCTAATTTATTACATGTTAAGTATATATATTTTTTTTTTATTTTTTTGCTGTACTTTGTTCCTATGATATTGGTATTTGCAAGAGTAATAGCTTGATAATTTATCTGGTGTGGATAATTATTAATGACCATGATAAAGTTCACTTCTACGAATATTTTATGAAATACATTATTATTGAAAGAAAAAACAATGGATTAAATGAGGAGGCATTATGCATTATATTAGAGTATTTCAAATGCAAAGTTAAAGAATTTGTACTACAATTTTCGTATTCTGATGAGGAAAATGTTAACTGTATATTATATACTACTGTTATCAGTCTAATGTGCAAAAATTTATAACATCCTGTAGCACAATACTTCACTTTGTATTTGATTTTAAGACAAATGTTAGAGATAAAGTGTAAAATAAAACACAATGGGCCTTAATTCGAAAGTACCACATGATACAATTATGCAATAAATGTTGTGATATTTTTACTTAATCAAAAGATATATTTTCAATTATAAATTATGAATCAAATTTTTAAAAAGAAATGTGTTTTATTTTTCATTTGGAATTTACATGAATACATGAATTTTCAAACTGAAATAAGAAGAAACGAATATTTATGTTGTTTTATAACCTTTCAATTTATTTACATACACAAATTTTAAAAAAAATTTAATTTAGTACAAAAGTACCTATAAATTACCTTTATTGTAATCATTTAAAAAATTCTATAAAAATCTTGTATAAAATTACAAGTTTACATTACATCACTGAATGAAATAAATTGTTACAATAATTTAAATAAATTACGTATTTACTTATTAATCCCTTTGTAATCTACTATTGTAGAACCTAATTCAAAAACATGTGTATTTGTCATCTGTCACATTGACTAATGTCACTGTATAGTTCAGTACGTGAATCAACAATATAAAGCAAAAAGTTTTGTAACGTAAATAATCACTTAGTATATACATTGTAATTCTTTAGTTACTTTTTTTAATGTGTACCTTTGAAACACTTCAAATTTTCGATTGAAACCGTAAATAACGAAATATAACCTGCTAGTAAATGTTTGACAACATACCTGACTAGAATGCCTCCTTTCGTTATATAAAGTATAAGCCTTTTAAGTGAATGTTTGCTTCTTTTTTTTGTTATTTTTCGTATATACAATAATATAAAATGAATTCAATACCTCCCACTAAACCTCCAAGGGGCATCAAGCCAACAAAAGAATCAGTAAGTTTCAACAACTTACATTAGATAATTTGATTATTGTTATACTTTGTTTCATCTAAAAACTTTCTTTAGAGTGGTTTATTAATTTCTGTGATACGTGCTTTATCGGCAAGTGAAACTAATGAACAAAGAGAAATAGAAAAAGCTAAACTTGAGAAGGAATATAAAAAGAGTGATCAACGACTTGATGAGCTTGTCTCATTGCATGATCAAGACCTTACACAAGTTATGCAAGTAAGTTCATGTACCAACTAATATAATAAGTTTTTATGCATTATGACAATGACATGCATAATATTTTATGTTACAGATATTTAGTGCTCTATCAGAGAAAGTGACAGCTTCAAGAGAAAAAATTCACGCAGTTAAAGAAAACTTGAATGCTTGTAAACAGTTATTAAGATGTAAACGGGAAGAATTATTAAATTTGTGGTTGGAAGGAATTGAACACAAACACGTGTTGCACCTTTTAAAAGATGTGTAAGTATTATTTTCCTTTAAATACAATATTAATGTTAATATTATAACTTTCTTTCTTCTCAGGACCCCTGATTCTTGTACTCGAATGTTACCTTTAACTGATACAGATGCACTGTCAGTGCCTACCCAATATAATGTAACATCAGATTAATAATTACTCATAGATAGATGTACTAAATAAATTGTAATTTTGTTTTGTATTTATGTACTATAATGAATAAATTAATTGTAAACTAAAATAATGTACTCAGTTTTAAAATAATTTATTCCTTAAATGCTTGATAAGAAAATAGAAATTCTCACTATCGTATAAGTTTGTAATTTCCCGCCAAGAAGTCGTTTTCTACAGTGACTATATGTTTTGTTCGTCATAATAAATAGTTTATTCTACATATTTCAACAACAGTGACAAAATTTGTATAAAATCTATTTATTATGTATAGTAATTTTGTAGTAGTGAGTTTTAATTGTACATTTTACTTTCAATGATAGGATTTGGTTTATGGTTATATGGCGCACGTGATATTCCGTGAGGGATACATTTTCTTATCACTCGTGCACATATTTTGTATAATCATTGATTGCAAAGCATATGCAGGCGAATCCGCTTATTGACAATTCAGTTTTCCACAATTTGAATATAAAAGGCCTTCAAAACGCATATCGTAAGTGTCACAGTAAACGTAATGTATGGGTTATTTTAGAACGTAATACATTTAAAATATCATTATCACATCTTGAAATAATGACTTCATCCCTAGATCTTAGTTTTAAAATAAATTCATGAAAGTTTATTGTAAATTATTATTATGTTTTAAAATATTTCAAGCATTTATATTTGAATATTTAATATTACTTTATTGGTTAATGATCCGATATTGTAATGCACAAACATTTCACACCTAAATACGTTTCCTCGTTAATGTCTAATATTCGAGTTCAGTACATTCAATTATATAATATTTTCTTAATAAATCTGAAGAGTTGTTCTCTTTTTGCAGGTAGAGATGGGTACATTGGAATTAAAACATACTTTGAGTGGACATAGAGGAAGGGTGTGGAATGTTTGTTGGCATCCAAAGGGTACATGTCTTGCGTCTTGTGGTGAAGACAAAACTATTATAATTTGGGGACCACAAGAACCAAAGTGGGCTATAAAAACCATTCTCACTGAAGGACATACTAGAACTATTAGAGAAATTGCATGGTCTCCTTGTGGAAATTATATAGCGTCAGCTAGTTTTGATGCCACTACTGCTATATGGGATAAAAAATCGGGGCAATTTGAATGTAATGTGACATTAGAAGGTCATGAAAATGAAGTGAAAAGTGTTAGTTGGTCTTCCAGTGGACAGTTGTTGGCTACTTGTAGTCGAGATAAATCTGTTTGGGTATGGGAAGTGAATGATGCTGAATACGAATGTGCTGCTGTCATTAATGCTCATACTCAAGATGTGAAGAAGGTAAGTAGACATTGTATATTATCATTGTTTGTAAGGAATGAATTTTAAGTTTCATTGTATTTATTTTCTATTGGTATATTGTGAATATTAATGGTCAGATGAAATATAATAAACATATATTAGTATATATAAATATTATTACTAGGTAAGGTGGCATCCCAGTGAAGAAATTGTAGCATCTGCTAGTTATGACAACACAGTAAAGTTATTCAAGGAAGATATAGCAGACAATGATTGGTCTTGTGTAGCAACACTGTCATCTCATACCTCAACAGTGTGGAGTCTTGCATGGGATAAAACTGGAAATAGGATAGCAACCTGTAGCGACGATCAGACAGTGAAAATATGGCAAGAATATAAACCTGGTAATGATCCAGGAATTGTAACAACGGACAATGAACCAATTTGGAAATGCGTGTGCACATTATCTGGTTATCACACAAGGACAATTTATGATATTGACTGGTGCAAAACAACTGGTTTATTAGTGACTGCATGTGGTGATGATATTATTAGAATATTCAAAGAAGATAGTGATTCTGATCCTCATCAATCATCTTTTACAATGGTCTGTTCAATGGACACTGCTCATACACAGGATGTGAACTGTGTTCAATGGAATCCTTCTATTCCTGGACAACTTGCATCAGCTAGTGATGACGGTGTAGTGAAAATTTGGTTTTATAACGAATAAACTAATTGTTATTTTATGTAATTGTATATTTTAATAGTAAATGTATTTAACAAATGAAAAATGACTTTTATAAATTATTTCTGTAATAAATTTCTTACTCTAAGTTTAAATGTTTAAATTCATGCTTCAGGGCTGGCTTTTTTATTTATTTTTAGGTTCATTTAAATGTATAAACATCTCGCAGGACTCAGACAAGGTTGTAAAACACTAGTTTCTCATTATAAATTACTGCAAACAATGGGTGACATAAAACCTAGTTCTACTGGGGTCCCATTAACTCAAGTTGTGGATACATTAAAAAGTTTTGCTGACTTACCACTTGCAGCATCTTGGGATAATGTAGGATTGCTTGTTGAACCCACAGAACCAAAACTGATATGTCATATTCTTTTAACAAATGATTTAACCGAAGATGTCATGCAAGAAGCTTTAGATTTGAAAAGTGACATGATAATTACTTATCATCCACTAATATTTGCGCCTATGAAATCTGTAACAACTCGTTCATGGAAGGTACTAATTCAATGTTGTCTTCTAATTACAAATTTTCCTTATTAACAAATTTAATGCTAGTCCCACTAATCCAATGTTGTTTTCTATAAGTAACATTTCTCCACTTCAACTTCATTAATCTTTATTGCATTACTTTCTCTGTAGGAGAGAATAGTAGCCAAATGTTTGGAAAATAAAATAGCTGTATACTCACCACATACTACTTTTGATTCAGTGAAAGGAGGCGTGAATGATTGGTTGGCTTCAGCATTTCAAGATGGTAAGTTTCAATCAGTAATTAGCCAAGGTTCTTGTATATATTATATACTAATCAATGTTGTATTTTCAAGTACTTGAGAGCAGTAAACCGATAGACGTGAATAATGACAACAAGGAGTATGGTTTTGGAAGATTATGCGTCTTGAAGGAAAAAATCTCTATAGAACAAGCTGTAAGATTAGTGAAGGAACGCACTGGCTTAAGTCACGTTCGATTGGCGCGCGCTCGCCAGACAAGTATGAAATTCATAATTCATAACTTTATTTACGTCCGTTTCTCTGTAAACAAATCAAAATGTATCGAAGCTATATTTCTGCATTCCAGACGGTTTCATCAATACTGTCGCGCTTTGTGCTGGATCTGGGGCATCCCTTTTAAAAGACGTTTCTGCAGATCTATACCTTACAGGAGAGATGTTGCACCACGATATCCTCGATGCCGTTCACAAAGGAGCCAGTGTGATATTAACAAACCATTCCGATTCCGAGCGTGGCTTTTTGAAATCATTTTCACCCACTTTGCACAACATGCTAAACAAATCCGTCGTAGTAAGCGTGTCTACAAGCGACGCGGATCCGCTGACAACCGTTTAATATCTCTATCCAAGAAAAGAGGAATAACGATCGGAATAATTATAGGATGGAGTTGTTTCTGTCATACGTGATAAAATTTTATTAATAATATTATAAATCATTCTTTCCTGTTATTGGACTGACAATTTTTATTTCAATCTGGTAAAGTTGATCAGAGAAATAGAGGGAAGTAGTTACATAAAAGAATCATTGTATATTGCGTGTCGTTCAACAGAAATAATTCTCAGCTACAACGTAAACAGCGTTTAGGTTTCCTTCTCATTTCGTATAACGAGCTTAAAAACTACTTACGCAATTTAATCTCTGAAACATGTGTAACCGTTAGAATTCATTTTCCCTTATTTTGATTATTGAAATATCGCTTTGTTCTCCATTCGCCCGTTACATTCTCGTACAGTCCCTAACCAGCGTTTCGCATTCACTCAACAACTCACGCACGGCGCACGGTTACAAAACGGAAAAACCCCCCCCTTCCCGGATACATCAACAACGTACACGGTCGCCGTTCGTCCCGTTGAAAACTTATCTAAAGGAAATACAACAGTCGTGATTCTGGTCCAATTGGAACGTTCCTCAATTTAGGTCCACGCGTTCAATTTCGTTCCCCGGCGGGTCCCGCCGTCGCCCTACCTCGGTTTCAACGATAGATGAAAAAATGATTCGCTCGTAACAGTCCAGTAAATACAGCTTGACTTATCCGATATACAACGTAGGTATAGAGTTACATCTCTAACAACCGATTCCTCGCGTTATTTTACGATGCTGTGTGTACCTCTCTCTCTCCCCTCTGTATGTAGGTGCGTGTATCTGTAACTGTATGTATCGTTTTCCTCCTTCTTCTTCTTCTTCTTCTTCTTCTTCTCTTTCATTCCGCTTGTGTCTGTGTGCCTGTACATGTTACACCGACGACGAAATGGAATGTAATACACGATGAACACTTTTTATAAATTCCGATTCTACGTCCACCGGATTCACAGTGCTGGAAGTATACCCTGAGCTCGGACGCCCAAAAATATCGTGGATCGCGATGTTCCCGGTCGCGGCCGAGCGTACTCGCAACCCCGGTCAGCCCGTCGATCGTACCCGATGAATCGACGTCGATAAAAGTCGCCCCTTAACTCTATCCAGTTAAACTTCGGAATCTTACGCTTCGCGTTTTAACCTACACCTTAGGCTCGGCGCTACGCCCTCCCGCTCCCGTTAGAATAGGGCACCCGGCGTGTTCGCCGCGGCCCACAGAAATGGGTCGACCGGTCTCGCCCAAGGAGTCCGCGAGCCATGCCAGGACCAGGTCGATTTTAATATCCGTAACCCATCTCCGCGGGTGAGGCCGACGTTCCGCCGAGGGTTCACGAATTCGCATGTGGGTCACGTCGGTTTTGACTACCGGTTTTAACGACCCGCGCGTTAATCAACTCGGCTGCTACACGCGAACCCGTGACCCGTGCGACGACGAGGGCGTCGTCGAAGGAACACGCGCGCTCGCTCCACCGGATTTATTTAACTAATTCCAGGCGACGCCTCCGTGGACGCGTTAATGCGGGCTGTCCGCGGCAGCACCGACAGAGTCCAGCTTAGCTGCCTTCGAACTCGCGGTCCTCGCGAATTCGACTCCAGGACGTGCACGGTCCATTATGTTCGAGGCGCGCTCTCGTCTCGTTTCGCTTATCCGCGAAACGAAAGCGGAATCGAGCCCCCGTCCGCCTCCGGCTCGAGAGTCGCGGCCCTCGCCGCGCGTCCGGCTCGAATTCCCGAGATAATCCAGATTTATTTCGGAACCCCTAATCCGGACACTCGATTTACGCGGTGGAAGACGATTTTCACGCTTTTCCTCGCGGCCGGCCGGATGCCGGCGACCTCCGATCGCGCCCGTGCGGCCTCGCGCGGCCGAATGATACAAATTGCATTCCCGGAAGAAGAAGATGTTCGTTTACAGACGGTTTTTACTCGAAGACAAATGGAATTGGCGCTCGCTCGGGTAAAGAATCGCCGTTTTTCCCCGCTCCCCCACCGATGATACGAGAGCGCCGTGATTCACGGCGAGCAACGCTCGAAAGTTCGGAACACGTCCGGTCGTAAAGGGAACGATTAGAAATGATTATTCGCATTTCTCTTCTCTTTTTCCGGCGAGCGCGATGTATTGTCTGTTGACCGTGACGCGAGCAAAATGGCGTCGGTCCGCGTCTTCCGGCGGGTCGGTCGACGTTCCCTTCGGTTTCCCTCGGCATCGATTCGACGCCCGTAATACGAAGTGTCCCAGAATTTTAGATCAAACGGGGTAGTCCGAGGAAAACGTGAGGTCGGCTCTCGCAACGCTCCGCCGCGGAAATAATCGATTCGAGGCTTGCGCCGATCAAGATGGCCGCCGTTTCGGAGCACGCGAATAATCGAAGTCGCGGCTCGTCGACCGGAGAAAACGAGGAAACAGGATTTTAAACAATACATTCTTATACCGAGACGGTTAATCCTCAATTCCGCGACACTCGGAGCGTCGCGTGTCTCTTACTTTACTCGTTATAACGGAGCACGGTTTCATATAATACATTTACCGCTCGTGCCGCAGTCTTGTCCAATCGCGTCTCTTCCCCATCCCCCTCGCGCGACCACGCCGGTGTCGTTTCCATACTATTCCCGCCGCGTTCGCCAAATAGAACCTAGCTTAAGGATCGCTTTACGTTCCATTTTTCAACTTGCGGCTCACCGAGCGTGACAATCTCGTCTCCGTGGAAACTCGCGATGGCGGCCGCACGAGGCCGACCGAATACAATCTTCCCCTAATCGATTGATCCGCGTAACCGCCGGAAACCGCTCGTAATCGCCCGGAAATCGTCTCGATCCACGGAACAGCCGTTCCGGCGCGGTTCACGGATCCCGGACCTCCCCGAAATTCGGTCGGGGCGTCGGCGCGACCTGTCGATTCGTAGAAAACTTCGGCGTCCCGATGTTCTTTGTTTCGCCGTTGTTCTCTCCGTTCGTCTCCTTCCCGTCACGAGCGCACCACGACGAGATCCCCGGCTCAATAGCGATGATTCAGGAAGGCGAGCAGCGTCGTCGAGATCATCACGAACGGCAGGTTCGCCAGTCTGAGCTGTCCTCCGTGCTGCATGGCCGCCGGATGTTCCCCTGCGGATCAGTGATTAAAATTCAAATTGAATTCCGTCCCGACGTTCGGCGTCTTATTGGAATTGTTTCCTGGTATCTAGCCGCGCGGGTGTACAGGCCGGGCAAACGCGGGGACGTTAACGGTCCTCGGGAATTATGGACGCGCGGGAGAAAAACTGATTCAGCGGGAAATTACGGTGGAACGCTCGTGGCCCTCCCCTCTTCCCCGCCGCTCCAGGTGAATCCCGGATAACGGGGGGATCGGTTTAATGTCTTCCCGGGGACTGGTATCTCCTTTCTAGCGCGAACTTCTTTCGAGTTCCGCGGCCGCGCGGAGCGCACCGCTCGTGTAATTTGTGGAGCAACTTGGAATCGGCGAGCCTTTCGCGCGGAACAAGAAAGTTCCCGGTTATATAATGCCGGGTTGCTCAAAATAACGGGCACAATTACAAGGAAAGAACAAGGAGCTAGTTAGCGAGTGGCCGATCGCGGACCTCGGTCCAGCGCGAGGTTACTCGGAAGTTTCGCGAATGTTTGGCGTCTCGGTGATTCGGGACTGTGCAGGACTTTGTTGTATATTATTGATATGTCATCTAATTACGTACATATGTATTTTAGTCGAGACAACGGTCGCAGTTACGGGGAAAGCACCGTTTCGCTTGCCAACTCGAATCTTCCGTCGCGTAAGATCGCCGGAGAATTCGTTGGAAACGAGTACGCGCGCTCTCCGCGATTCGACGATGATGGCGGAAGAAGATTCGAGTGCAATAACTGGTTTAGGTGGAGTAACTGTTGCGATTGGAGGAAGGAGGGGGGCAGGGATTTTTCGCGAACCGTTTAAAAGTTTCGCGAATCGGCGCACGCGAGTCCGGCGATTCGAAAAATCGCGAAACAAGGAATCCGGGATCAGATACGGCTGTGGCGCTGGCAGTTCCGGAATTATTAAGGATCTCATTTCCTTGGGAATTCAGACGTTGATGTGATTTCCGCCCAAAAATCCGGAGTTTGGTTATCAAATTCCATTTTCCCCCGGCAAATGGGGTTTCTATATAAATGCTAACGTGATCTTTACCGACTCCCGGACTTTTTCCGAAGTACTCCCCTTCCCGGAAAATCAATAAATAGGTTAGAGATTAACCCATTTTTCACGGCGAACTCGAAGATTTAATTATTCCGACGCGAGAACGCGGCGAACTTGACCCGATAATGACGCACCGCGAAATTCTACGGTCGAGTGGAGTGATACCGCGAATTACTTTAACCCTTTGCACTCCAAGAGACTTCTACCAAAAATACCCAATACGAAATCGTACAAAAATTAAAGAAAAAGGCTGTTTCATTTGAATATTTCACATATTTACCCCTTAACTTGCACGCTCGAGTTAATTCGAGCGCGGTAAACATGCCAAACTGTGAAAATAACAATGTGAAAGCAAAGAAAAAAAATCATTTTACTGATATTTATCATTTACATGGGATTCTAAGCTATAACACTTATTTATTCAATAAAATATAGCCTTTTTCCATGGAACAAAAGCGCAGTATATCAAAACTGATTTTTTTTGGCCGGTTTTTTTAAAAAAACTATGCGTTAAGGGGTTAATATCTTACGAAACTTGACATTACATGTTATACTTCATAATTTCGCTGTAGCAAATCGAGTGGCGACTGAGGGGCGCCTATGGAGCGCAAAGGGTTGAATTCGAAATAGATAACGATAACGGGTGTTGTCGGCTCGTCTGAAATTTGAATGGAACAACGGTCGGATGTTTCCGTGATTCGTTTAAAATCCCAGTTGAACAACAAATGGCTCGTCCTGGCGGTTCGTTTGACCGCAGTTCGCTGGTTTCCACGTTAAAATTTCTAAAAACGTCCGCTTAATGCCCCCGATGTACCTTTTCCCGGCGGCTGCCTGTCGGACTATTGATCGTCATTTCTACTTGCTTGAGAGTTTCGAAACGCGTCTGACTGATGCCCCGATACATCTCCCCGCGGCAGGATTTCGAAACATCCCCGTCCAATATTTGCCGTTCCCACTTGCGGTAGAATTCCAAGTGTCTGATTATTATGCGTCACTTCTACTTGCGTTAGAGTTCCCGACCGTGAGCAATTCTGTCCCCCGCTGTTTGCTCGTCCGATTATTATTCAGTACTTCTGCATCGACTTACGGTGTCGTCGCTAAGTAGACCGCTCGCCAGATTATTCTAAGTAGAACACGAATTACTATAGAGTCACGGGTGTTTAAAGCGATCCTTATCGGTAAACACCATTTCCTCGTGACTCCCGTCGTTAATATCGCTTAGAAAAAATGGAGGATTACAGCAAGCGATCAGAGATCGGATTCCTCACATTTGTAGGAAACAATGCAAAAGGTTCACGCTGTAAATAATCAAGAAACATTCGCAGCATCGATTAATTCGAACGTTCAAAGGAAATATTTAGCATCGCGCCTTCGGCAGTGCGTTCTCTGTTCGACGCGAGGGAATAATTCAACACAAAGAAATCACTTGATATTATTCCGTGTTAATTATTTGTAGGAGACATTGCAAAAGGTTCACGCTGAAAATAATCAAGAAAAATTCGCAGCATCGGTTAATTCGAACGTTCAAAGGAAATATTTAACATCGCGCCTTCGGCAGTGCGTTCTCTGTTCGACGCGAGGGATTAATTCAACGCAAAGAAATTACTTAACATTATCCAGTGTTAATTATTTGCTTAATATTAACGTACAAACTCCAGTGTCCCCGAGATCTCAACGAGTCGTCTCGTTCCCAGTTACAAGCGCACTTCGCAACGCGGCCATTTCCCTCGCTGTTCGAAAGATACGGAAAGTATCGCGAAATTCCTCGTCGCGCACCGCCTGTTTACATTACTCTCCGAGCGAACCAAGTTCCAGCCGAGCTAACGATATCCTGATAAGGATCCCGGTATTTTCGTGTCTCCGCCGCGAGCGGTTGTAACGCGAGAAAAAAAACTTTCGACTTGTTATACCGCCGGCGGCGTCGGCGTCGGGCGTCGGTGCTTTTACTTCTGCCGCCATTTTGTCGCTCGAGTGACCATTGCGAGCGACGCGACTGCCACATACTTGTATCGGTCTTCGCCGAGTATCGACAGCCATAGAATCCGTTTTACGCGGGCGTCAAGTTAACTTTACGCGGAGTCGCGGCAACTAAACGATGCCCCAATAAGATTCTTCGTCGGTGCCGTTCGAGCGTTCGTCCGCGAAAGAATGCGCAACTCGTTCCGAGCTGGGCGAATAAATTATGTAATGAGCGCGGCGGGAACGAGAACGATTTCGGTGCGTAACTTTTCGCAACGCGTCGAATTCTTGCGCCCGAATTCCGCGAACGTCCCGGTTCCCGATATTCGCCTGGAATTTTTCCAAACGGGCCATGAGAATCTGTGCAATCGCGTTTTCTAATTGATCCTTGATCGCGTTTGAAAACAAGTTCCTTCGTTTCGACGTTCGACTAACTCTTCGAGGCGTACGATTTTAGACAACTTAAGTTGCATAGAGTTCGCTACGCGATTCGCTATGCTTAACACTAGGTTTACTAGCAAAATGAATATTCATTCGTTTAAATCTTAGAAATCAGCGGTTTTAAAATAGACATTTGCGATACGTATTCTTGTAATTGCATCGATCAAAATCGATAACATTTAGTAAATAATGTTTATCAAATTCTATATGCGTCAAAGTGACGCGTTTCGTGAAGCTAGTGTTAACGCGTTGAATGCACGAGAAAGTATAATATTTAATCATTTCATTGAATTGCATTATTATCATTGTACATCCATCTAGCTGAACGTCACCGCGTTATGTAGCATTGTTTATAATGTAAAATGCTTTCAGATAATCATCGTTTAATTAAGCGAACTATAGTAATTTGACTTAATGGAAGTAAGTCTTAATGTAAGTAATGGAATTCAACGTGCTAATAACAAGTCTCAATAACTTACTAATGCGTTTCGATTTGTATGAATTTTTGTTTCCATTTGTTTCTATTTACTGTTAGTTCATGGCACTGCCAACTGGATGGGGAATTTTAAGTAAAATATTGAACTGTACTATTATCAGTAACTTCAACTTTTCGAGGTGAGTTAGAATATATTCACGTACAAAAAGCTAAGCAAAGTTTTCGGCCCACCTAACCTCAAATATTTAATACACGAATTTGATTAGTACTCGGTACTCAGTAACTTCGAGTCGAATACTAAATTTAGCGTTGTTTGTTTATCAAAATCAAATGAACGCCATTCGACTTCTCGGAGGATCTCCATTTACACGAAAGATTTGCGAGTTCGATTCGATCCGATCCCGAATTGAAAAAAGTTCGTTAATCTGTGATAGCTGCTTTCCGCCGAGGTCTTTGTTTCCGAGTTTCTTCTCGATCCCGCAACAACTTCCGTTTATTTCCGTTAATGTAGACCGCCCGAGGCACTCAGCTGTGCTATTACTTTGTTGTGTACAAAATGGCGGAGTTCTTGGGGCATCGGGTGTTGGATTAAACGTCAGACGAACGTGCTGCTCGACTTTCTACGCGAGGAAATTCTGATTTATCAAAGAATTCGAGCGTATACTGGCCGATTGTTGTTGTTCGATGTAATAATAATAATTCGAATATAATAGTCGACGGATATAATAAGACATTTACGATGTCTTCGATGCACCGAGGCCATTAGCAAAGAAAAGGGGACGTTGTAGAATTCCAGTTTCTTGCCGGTTCGTCCAAGGGAATGTAAACTTGTATAAATATTAGCAGTAACGAACGCTGTTAGCAGGTTCCATAAGAATTTCTCGGTCCGCGAGGTCTACCGCTTTGCCTGCAACAATTTAATGAAACAGCGAATTCCGTCTCGCTGTGCTCCACGCCCAGAAATTGAAATTTCTGAAATAATTTAGATAGCGACGTTGACGAAAGTCGTTGAAAAAATCATTCCAACGTCTATCGCAATTGAATTAAAACCGCAAGACGGTATTACTGATCGTATTAAAATTCACGAAAATCAAATACCGAAAG